AGGACACTAGGATTGACTGGTCAAGGAAACTGGGATTAGGATGAGATGCCTGAGGGGGTGGAGACTGGGACTAAAAGCTTGTAACAGGAACAGGTTGGATGGGGGACAGGGCAGAAGAGATCAGGCTTTAGGAAAACTGGGAGAAGAATCTTTGCCCACTGGAGTACACTCCCCTCTAGAGTCTGGAATGGAACTCAGGATTCCTGAATTTCACCATTCCTCTGCTGTCTGCAAATATCTGTGAAATCTGCTTGCAAATGGTGTGTCTCATTGACTTCTGTTGCAGGTCCAACTATAGAGGATGGCTTTTGTTGCTGTCAGATACTCCATTAGTTTAAGTAGCAGAGGTCTGTGCAGTGATTCTAAAGGTTCCAACCCTGCTGATGAGCCCTCTGAGTATCAATATGATGCCAGATGATGGAATTTGTGTATTCAGTCTGTTTTTTAAAAAAAACATAGTAAATACCATAAATACAGACTGGATTTCTGGAGACATATTGGCAATTGTTTTTAAAAAGTATAAAATCTGTCAAATGGTAGACAATCAAATTAATCAAAAATAATCCAGATAGGGAGTTATGGGTCTCAAACCATGCACCACAGAATTTTGTCCTTTATGGGTAAACCTTTCAGTCTTCAGAAGTTGTTTCGGATATTCAGCACATCTCAGGAGGCTCTCGACAATTTACAGGATTGAACCCAAAGACAGTTTGTATCCTCGACATAATTTAAAGAACTTTACCATTCTACAGATTACCTCTACCTTTATCATTCTACAGATTACCATCAAATGCAAAATTTATAAATTATATTTCCCTAATAGAGTAGGAATTTCATTTAAAAGAACTCTATCAACCTCTTTTCCAGTTCATTAGTTGCAGTTCAAAATGATCTGGTTAAACAACAATTCAGTCAATCAGAGGGAGGAACATTTTTCTTCTCTTTCTTCTGAACCTCCAACAATTGCAACACTAAAACCGCTTCCAGACACATGGGATAATTCTTCATGGATTATCCTCTTAAAATGTAAACAAACCGAAATACAATGCAACCTGCCTGCCTCTAAACTTGATTGCAGTGTGTCCACCATGTTACAAAGTGACCAAGTCCCATCACAGCAATTTAACATGAACAGTTTGACAAAATGATGTATCTAACATCCCATACCAAAGTGATAGTAATAACCATTTGTATTTCCTGGGAGAGCTGAGATGTGCACTTAAATCAATAAACCACATCAGGGAAATGGTATATATGCAGCTAAACATTCTCATGATGTTTTGAAACCCTCAGATATGTAGAATTCCCTTCACGTTTTTCACACATGACAAGAATTTGCTTTTAGCGAAACTTGGCAGCACATATATCTTGATAAGGCAGTGAATACCTGGATTTAATTGTACCCTTAATTCCCTCCTATGCTTACAGAGTAAAATTCTCTCCTATTCAGAAGGCCAGCACAAGGTCTATACACAATTAAAGTCCCACTTAATCCCTCAAAATAGAGACTGCCCTCTATACTTAGGGTAGCTCAAAGCAGAGCAGAGTGGTTTTCAGTTGTCTCATGCTGACAAGAAGTTACCAGTTCCCTCTGTTGCTGAAAATGATGAAAAAGATCTAATTGCCCTCCTTCAGATGATTATATATTAGACATCAGGAGATGCTATTACAGATTAAAAATTCAGGATGATAGCATGACTGCTGAGAGGAGTATTTAGAGATTCCAACTTTTTTCTTTTCCTTTTTCTTTTCTTTTAACAGTTGGAAGTACCTCTCTATTTTTTAAGAAAAACAAGTTGCTACTCATGCAGCTGCATATTATCCATAATTCTAAATTGTTTAGATTATCAGGTTCTTCAAAATCTACAAGGAAACACCATTAGTATCTTGTAGGCATTTCATCATTTCACACCTGCATTGAGGCTTGCAAGATCAATTCTCACCTTGTCATACTCTAAGGGAGAATAAAACTACCGTAACTTGGGATCTTGCTGTGGTATGAAATACTCTCACAGATGCTATCCACCGTTTTGAGACTATAGGCAGCTGCCTTAATATATCGTATAGTCAAAACAACTTTTCTACTAGCTATTACTAAACTTCTGTCAGAAGAGCAGTTGAATTAAACTGTCTGGCACAGAGTTACATTTTCTTTCTGGCAAGAATTACATTGCCAGCAGTGGACACTGAGAACTGCTGGCACCAAAGGATTATTGCATTATTAGCAGGCACTTCATTCTTTATAATATTTAAAGATGATGTTACATTTAGACAATGTGCTTCCTTAAAGCGATTACAGGTTTCCACATCAATTTTGACATCTGCCTGGAAGTTTGCTGTCCCAAACCTCATAACTCAGAATCCAAAAGTCTCTACCACCTGCTTGACATTAAGAGAGCTCTGAAGGACTGTATTTAACAAACTGCTGTATTCCAAAAATCTCTCCAACAGTTCATATACTATCAGCAGAGAAAACGTGGCTGCTTATTACTACTCAGGCTTTATCAATCATGATTTCTATTAAGGAATCCTGTTTTCATCAAAGTAAATAATTGCTATTTCCTATTACTGCAGATTCTTCAAGAGGTGTAGCAGCCTACTTGGCTAAATGGGGTGGGGGGCGGGATTATTTCTATACACAGCTACAGAGAGTAAGAATTTGTCCTGGACATTGCCAGCATTTTAAAACTTCTACGGTTTCCTTGTGAAAATATTTTTATTTTCCTTTAACTACTTTACAATCTTATCTTTATGCTTAGCCTTCAGAAGACTTCATGTGTGTTACTGAGGAAGTTTAAATGTTACTGTAGTAATGATTCCTTACTCTTTCGTAGTGTACCCTCGGTACATGCCACCCTTTCCACTCAAAGCTACTTGATCATGCTCACGTTATAGTCAGTGGCAAAACTCCCATTGATTTTTTTTTTAGTAAGATTAGGCTCTAATTGCTACTTCTTCCTAAGAAATTCAAGATGAAAGGGATACAGTAGTCTGGAAAGGTTGAGAGCCACTGCCCTAGAGGGAAGGGCTGATCCTTCTTTCTAGATTAGGAGGCCAAGTCTAGATATGTATAATTAAGTAATAGGAGCGGTGGTCCATAACCGGATTTCCTACATGCTAACGCAATACAAATAGTAAATGTTACCAATAACAACCAGCACAGTTCAGCTTAGAGAGTTACAGAATATTATATTACCCCTGAATTTGGAGCATCCCAGGAGAGCTCCTATTATGGTGTAGAAGAAAATTTCTGAACTAAATGAGACTATTAAAATAGTTATATTGTTTACTCTGGACATTGCCCCAACTAAAGCTCAGATTTTTATTCTGAAAGAAACTTGAAAATTTTAAACAGAAACCAAGTGCTGGCTGCCCTCACTCCTTTTATTTAAATTTCCTAGGCTTTTTAAAAAAAATATACACACAGTAATGATGTGGTAGTATTTATAATTTCAGTTATTAATTATTCAAATCAGAAAGACATTATGGAAATTTTGGTAGCACTTGAAGCAAAGTAGAAGGAAGAAGGAAATTGGTGTGTAATTTCTCCTTAGATACGTTAGGCCAAATTCACCCCTGGCCTAACTACATTGAAGTCAGTTCCCAAGATCCTGAACAGCACTAAGCTCACACTTGGTGCAGCTGAGGAAAGAGAAACTGCCTTGGTGTAATTTAAAGCAGACTCCAGGCTGCTCTGAGTTATGCCAGCTGTAGCAGTTATATTAGTCTCCCAGGGTTCAGCCCCTCCTGACTGTGGCATGCCCCCTTCTGTCCCATGTGCCAAGTTACAGGAGCAGGTGGTGTTAAGCTAGTTTTATGCCAACCAAAGATTCATCTGTCCCACAAGAATCCACCCTTATTTACTGAAGGTGGCTTTAAATGCCTTTTCGCTGCTGGAGCAGTGCAAAGGGCACTTAGCAACAAGGATCTGGCTTAATGGTTTTATATCAGAGAGAAACTGAACCTATCATGACTGATTTTGCAAGATAGTACTGATTATATAGAATAGGATTTTCAAAGGCATCTGATGCCCTTAAGTCATTTTAGAAAATCCCACCCATTTCTTATAGAACAGCAAAGACCAGAGAGAAACAGTTTAAGATGCACAAGAGTGTACGTGAAAAAGAAATATTAAAAATTTGTAAGTGAAAGTTTGAAATGAAAATTCCACATGAGCAATGGGATGAAGAAAAGGAACTATATCCTCTCAAGTGTGCCAGAGCTGCCCTGTCATTCATGAGAGATGGGTGAGGGGAGGCAAAGGGGCATAGTCCCAGGAATGTATTAGAGCAGCCATAGGGCTGCTCTAATATGTGCCAGCACTAGTGGGACCCCCAGTGCAATCTGGCAACACCTTGCTTTCTCTCTAGAATGTCCCCCTATGTTGGGAAGGCCATGAATGGATGACACTTAGCCATCTATGCCAGCTTTACACCAATCAGAGATTCTCCTTGTATTGGAAATCCTAGCTGTTTGTCTAAGCTAGCTTTCCATCTGTTTTGAGCCAGTAAAGCATGGCCAAAGATTCTGACCCCAAATTTGCCTGATTTAATTCAAAGTAGCATGTCTAGTAGGAGATATGTCATCATCACCTCAAAAGGTAATGATCCTGCAGCGTGTACTCAATGTTGACAACATGCCCTACTGATTATCTATAAAGAGAAGGGTAATAGAAACTAATGACAAAAAAGTAACTTAGTTTGGTTACTTAGCCTACTTTCAGTCCATAATCTTATGTTGAAAAGAGACTATTTAAAAATAACTGTATAATGAAACCAGTGTGTTTAACTGTCTATGTTACAGTGCCAGTTATGTATAAAACTCAGCTTCAAAAAATTTACCAATATCTAAGAAATAACATGTTTTTTTTTTAAATTTCACATCTGATCAAATGGGAGTAAACAAATAAGTTATAAATAAACTTTTTTAATTCTCGTGTTTCATATTTGTTCTTAAAGAGATTTTTTGTCTTTTTAACTCAAAACTATTTATTTTTCCAGGACATTTCAGAATGGTTTTGGTGAGCTACTTCCATCAGATTTCTCCAAATCAAATATCAGTCACCCATTACACTGGCTATTTTGCCTAACACCATTTTGTCCTCCTTTACTTATGTGAGTATCTCTAGTTGATATAAATAAGAAAAAAAACAGGTAGTTAATACTAGTTAGATATTGCTGTGATTTTGTGTTGATAGTGTTCCTCGATAAATATTGTAGTTAAAATTCAGTTGAAACAATATATAAGCATTTTTTTGAATTTATTACAAGTTTTATCTGATGTAAAGTGTTCTGTTTAAACTTCCATGATCTATAAAAAAGATCATGAGAAAGGCAGTGTATTATGTAGCTCTTTAGCAGTGTATTTATGTTATGTTAGATATCTGAATTATTTTCAGTATTTCATGTTTATGTTTCATAAAAATATAAATATACAATAGTTGACAATCATGTAATTCAGCACAGGTACAATTTTCATAGCATTTTAATTTAGGAGGAAATTAAAAGAGCTAGCTCAAAAAAGTAGGTGTGATATTTAAATAACCAATTGAAAAATATGCCAGTATTTTCCATTGCTTGGTTATATTTGATTTTTAGGGAACTTGCTACATGTTTAAAAGCAAATGAATAATTTCTCTTTCTGTTTCACTGCATATAATAACAAGTATCACAAGGCATATGTTACAAGCTGTTCTGTCATTCCCTTTCTAATTTTGGTCCCAACGTACTCACACACCCATTGTCGATCCTCTCCCAGTCCTTGCTTCTTCCCCATACCCCCCTCCCAAGTTATTTTTGACTTCTAGCATTTTCTAAGGGACCTTCCCCTTAATTTTTCATAATTTAGATGTTTATATTTATTCTGAGAACATATATTTTCATATTTAAAAACAATAAAGAAAAGACAAAGGAATCTGGCTCCATTCTTAAAATAATTTATGCTAAAATGGAAGGGCCTGCTGCAGTGAAGACCACAGACAAGATCCTGAGCTTTGAGCCATTTTTGTGATCTCCTGATTCTGGGCCAGTTTCCACAATGTAACTTATGCCATGGATCACCAGGGTAAAAAGATGCCCTTTACACACCTTGTACTGCTTACAGGGAGAAGGGCAGTGTAGTGTAGCAGCTATTATTGTCTCTTACTCTACCCAAGGATTCTTCCTATGCAAGGAAGCCCCATTTCAGTCAGCAGCAAAACTCCCACTAACTGCAAGGGGGTCAGGATTTCACACATGGTCTTTAGGGCAGCTTTACTCTGAGGAAGTGGCTTAAAGCTGCTCTGACACTACTAAGGACTTACATATTGCCACTGTGTGGGACAAAAATAATAAGAATATAAATGATGGGAGTCTATGCGCCACTCTATACACTGAGGAAATGAATTCCGAGGTAGGCCAGCACAGGAAAATAGGAGGGAGATAAGAAGAGGGCAAATCCACCAAAAGCTCTGTGTCCACACAGAGACAATCCATATGACCAGACTCCAAAAACACTTAGTACTTGTCTTTGGCAACAGCATTTTCACCTATTCAGAAAATTCCCTAGATGCTACCTCAAAACAAATATTAATACTTATTATTATTATTATTTATTATTTTGCCCTGTCTAAGCTGGTGGTGCTTCCATGAAAATGCAGAGTCCATACAACTGAAATGTTTATTAATTTCAGAAGTGATGTTCAGTATGATAGTATGCTGTGTTGCTTATGGTGAATCAGATCTATACTGGAGTTAGATATGAAAAAGTGAGAAATTGTGTTAATCTGATAGTAATGTACTCAAACATCTTCTTGTTTTTAGAAGTAACCCATGGGTGGAGGAAAGCTTGATATTTTAAAAATTCTAGATACATGTACACATTGATTTATACAATGTTTCTTTGACTTTTTACATTTTTTGTTTTTTTTTAAATAAACATTGTTAATTTCTGTTTGTCTAATAAAAAAGTTTGAAGTTTGCACATTTATTTTTCATGTTAGATTCCAACAAAAATAACACATTTGTTTATCTAACTATTTAGTGACTCGTTTTAATGAATATTTATGTTCTTTTAGTTATTTGGTTTGATGGTTCAGAAATTGCTTTTTTATGGACCTATAACTCTACTATTGGCAAATCATCACTCTTCCCTTTTCTTCCATGATTACAAAACTGAAAATTTAAATGTCTGATATTTATATATAGTTTACCTTTTGTCTCTTTTTTTATGAGGCTAGTGTTATATTCACAGCTACATGAGCTAGGAGGATGAGAGAACATATGCGTCTCCATATGTCCAATACAAAAACTTCTCAGTGCATTTATTGGTGCTAGCTCAGTGGCTGTAGGGAATGTCTGCAACATTTTATTTTTCCTCTGAGTGAGTCACACCACTGTACATTTCAATTTGCAAGAGGCTTAAAGAGCCAAGAACTGGTGTATATAATATATTGCAACATGATAACTTCCCATCTGGTCAATGACAGACAAAGCTTTATTTCTACCCAGATATTCTAAAAATGGCTTTTAATTTATTATAAGTAATTTTAAATATTAATATTCATCTACCAACTGACCAAACACCTCACAGTCTCATATTTGGGGGGCAATGAAAAGCAGTGGTGGAACGGGTGCTGTACAAATATATGAAAGCCAGCCATAAAGGTAAACACAAATGAGGCTGGCCACTGTAATTTTACTGAATTTATAAAAATGTAGAGTTTACCCATAAGCCAGAATGCTAAATGTCATTAATATTATTGGTTTTTTTAATGTTTACCTTTCTTGTAACATAATTCCTGCTTTGTTGCTTATATGCATGTCTTAAAGACCTGTTGTGTATATATAATATATAATGTATTTTAAGAATAGTTATTAAAAATGGAAAGGATTAATCCTGAAAATTTATTTTAATACATGTAAAAAAATTCAAGGTTTTCTGTTTGCTGTAAATTGTATTAAGATTTGAATATGTGTGTATACATATTAGTTATATATAAATTACAAGTCTATACATACATATTTATTAATATACAGTGAACATAATTGTCAAGCGGTTGGGGTTTCTACATACACAACATACTTGACACAAACTCACAAAAGCATGAAAATGACAGGGAAGCCACCTAATAATATTTCTCCATCCACAGCCACATACCATCCCCACAATTACCATACACCGCAGAGAGTGCAGTCATAACATTGTCCACTCACAATACCCCTTTACCAAACTACCCACTCACAATACTGTTCCTTGCAGATGTTTGGCATAATGGGGTTTTGGGCTGTGGGGGAGTTTGGTAAAGGGGGTTATGGGAGGCAGACTTACTGTACATGATCTGAGGCAAATAGGTTTTTGTGGTAATGGTAAGGTGTGTGCTTGTGGGTTAAGGAGTAGAGGGAGTGTACTGTTATGTGGCTTAAGATATTACGGTGATGAGTACAGTATAAAAGCCTGTGTAGAATAGAATAGAACTTTTCATGTCCATGCTTTTTGTGGCTTTGTGACTGGTATACCATGTATGTAGTAACCCTGACTGAACAACAGAGGTTTTGGTGGATTCATTTCTAAGGAGTTTTAATGCTCAAATGAAGGTGTAGAGTTGAATGATGAGGCAGGAGAATGAAGGATGGGCAGTGGCAGACCCATGGAGGTAGAAGTGCAGCAACTGACAAAGATTTTTTTTCCATCAGCAAGTCTTCTAGGTTATGTGCGAGCTGCTGCCATAAATGGCACATAATATTTATGGTCAGCTGCTTATAAATCCTTCAACATTGCAGGATACAATCAGACAGAAAAGTGTAGTTCCTGGTAAGAAGATTTTATCTGATAGAGAAGGTTTTGTGTGTGCACTAGCACACAAAATTTATGCATGTATAGTTTTTGCACTGGTGCATAAGTAGTTAATGGGCTGGTGCATGTCACGTTTATGTTTATAAAGTTTACGTGCATAGTGAATAAACTTTCTCAATCATCAACCACTGGAGCATATGGTTTCAGCTCAGATGAGTAAGTGTAATGGCTAAAAATGATGCAAAATTGGTTTTTTTCAAAAGCACATTTTATGTAGGAAAATATGGGGTTTTTTTGTTCTTTGTTAGATGTCAATCAACAATGAAAGGGAAGACTACCAAGGACAAATTTTGTCCAGAACCCAATTTCAAAGACTTCCTTCTAAAAACTTATGCTGAGAAATAAAATAAAATCTAAACAGAGCATTCAAAGGACATAAAAACTAACACTTTGTGGAATTATATATCAAGAAGACATTTACTTTAGAGAAAAGCAAGATTTTATGTTCATTCTAAGCCCATTTTAGAAATCTATCTTAACTATGGAGTCAATACTAAGAGCCTCCATAACGTAATAAAATATTAATGATAGAACCAGTCAATTACTGAAGAAAGAACATTTGTGATCATTCATTTGGATTCTAAATAGCTGTGTGATTCAGTCATATTTGTGCCTTTTTAAATTGCTATTTGTGAACATTCACATGAACAGGTCCACATTTACAGAAGAACTGGGTTTTCTAAAATGAAGTATATCAATGATCCCTGTGTCGATTAAGCGATCATTGTCAAAAGGACAACACCTTTGTCAGAGCTAAACAACTCTGACAGAAAAGGAGAAGGTTGTAATAATTGGCCCAACAAATTTACCCTAATTGTAGTGAAAGTGAAAGTTCATAAGAAGTCACAATAAGCTATAATAATAAATGTTAATGGAAAAAGGTGCAAAAGTGAGAGAGACTGAATTAGTCCAAACAAAAAGGCCTACTGATATAATTCAATGACTGTGTTGCCTCATGCTTGGTATGCAAGACTGTGTGAAACCAAAAATCAGTGAATCCAAATTGGTGTGTCAGAAATTAGGCCTAATTTGTGTCATAGAGTTTAACGCCAGAAGGGATCATCAGATCATCTAGCCTGACCTCCTGTTAGGGTGATCAGGTGTCTGGTTTTTGACTAGAACACCGGGTCAAAAATGGACCCTGGCGGTTCCAGTCAGCACCACTGACCGGGCTGTTAAAAGTGTGTGGGTGCAGGGCTGGCAGGCTCACTACTCAGCTCTGCACAGCTCCCGGGAAGCAGCTGGCATGTCTCTCTGGCTCCTAGGCAATAGGGGTGGCCAGGGGGGCTCCACACACTGCCCCCCACCCCCGCAAGCGCCAGCTCCACAGCTCCCATTGGCCAGGAACTGGGTCTCAGAGAAGGGGCAAGGCAGGTGCGGGGCAAGGGTCTTTGGTTTTGTGCAATTAGAAAATTGGCAACCCTACGTCCTGTATATCACAAGCCACCAGCACCACCCAGCACTCTCACAACAAACCCAACAACTAAAATTAGGTAAGTATTACAGCTCACAGGAGACTAGACTATTGGATGCTGCAGGCAGAGAATAGGAGAGACCGAGGTTCACCAGTGCCTGAGGCCCCCACAACAGCAGGGAAATAATTAAGTGAGATATCGCCAGATATTCCTACCAAGTGACCTGCATCCACATGTTGCAGAGGAAGGCGAAAAAACTCTCACTCACTGCCAGTCTGACCTATTCCTTCCTGGCCCCACATATAGCAATCAATTTGACCCTGAGCACGTGGGCAATATCAGACAGCCAAGCAATTGAGAGAGAGAATGCTCAGTGTCACTTTAGAGCTCTGGTCCACCCCATCTCCAGCCATGATCATCTCTGATGCTTCAGAGGAAGGAGATTTTAAAAAATCCCAGAATATGTTGGAGGGTAGCAGGGGGAGAGAATCCATTCTTGACTCCTGCAGATGGCCAGCTGGAAACCTTGAAACATGAGCTTCTAGGAACATAAGACATAAATCGGAAGTGTGGTCCAGAGCTGTTGAACCCTGCAGCCCACCATCACAAGCAACCCTGTCACCCAATTGCACTCATAAATATGTCCAGTTCTCCTTAAAACTAATTAAGTTGTTTGGCCCCACCACACTTATTGGGAGTCTGTTCCAGAACCTCATCACTCTGATATTTAGAAACCTTCTTCTGATTTCCAGCCTGAATTTGTTCATGGGCAGTTTATACCCATTTGTCCTTGTGCCAGCATTGTCCTTTAGCTAAAATAGCTCTTTAACCTTCCTGGCATTTAGCCTCCAAATGTATTTATAGAGAGCAATCATATCCCCTCACAGCCATCTTTTTGCTGACTAGAGAAGCCAAGCTCTTCCAGTCTCCTCTCAACAGATAGGCCCTGCAGTTCTCTGATCATCCTAGCAGCTCTTCTCTGCACCTGCTCCAGTTGAATTCATCTTTCAGGAAGATGGGTTGCCAGAATTTATCCTCAAATGAGATCTTACCAGTGCCTTGTACAATGGCATTAATATTTCTCTATCTCCACTGGAAATGCCACACCTAATACATGCTAGAATCACATTTGCCTTTTTCACAGCTGGATCACATTGGTGGCTCATAGTCATCCTATGATCAACCCACACATCTGCTCTTTCTCCTCCCCTGTTGCTTCCAACTGAAGAGCCTCCAGCTCATGCTGGAAATTCTTATTATTAAACCCTACGTGCATGGCCGTGCATTTTGCACTATTGAATTTCATCCCATTTCCGTCACTCCAGTCTTCAAAGTCATCCAGGTCTTCCTGTATAATATTCTGATCCTCCTTTTTATTGAAAATGCCTCCCAACTTTTTGTCATCCTCAAATTTCATTGCCATACTCCTACTTTTTGTGCTACAGTCATTCATAAAAATATTGAATAAGATTCGTTCCAAAATGGATCCTTGAGGAACTCCACTAGTAATCTCCCTCTGAGCTAATAATTCACATTTCAGCACAACCCATTACATTTTTCTCTTTAGCCAGTTCCTTATCTTCTTTACAATGCTTGTATTGATCCCCATCTTCCTAGTTTAATTCATAATTTCCCAGCTGGCACCATCTCAAAAGCTTTGTGGAAGCCCAAGTATATTAAATCCATTGCACTTCCCTTATCTAAAAAATCAGTTATTTTCTGAAAAAAGGAAATCAGGTTAGTCTGGTATGATCTACTTTTGGTAAACCAGTTTTGCATTTCATCCCCTTTACCATTTATCTCTATTGATTTAATTATTCTTTCCTTCAGAATTTGTTCTAAAGCCTTGCGTACCACTGAGGTCAGACTAAGGGTATGTCTACACAAAAATGTAAGTCCAGGTTTGAACCTGGACTGAAGCCTAACCCCACCTTGTGTCCACACACCAGTTGTGCTAACTTATGGTCCTAGGGTCATGCAGAGTTGGAAGATCCAAGCCCTACTGCTTTTCTGTCCTGCACTTGACTCAGGTCCCAGAAGTCCTTCAGATGTATCCCAGAGTTCATGGCAGCGGAGGAGCAGCACTGCCAGCAGCCAGTGCAGTAGCTGGAAGCACCAATACTGCCTGGCTGAGCAGTCTCGCCATTCCTGCTCCAGCTCCTCCTTGCTGCTATGCGGAGCTTGCCTGGAGCAGGGAGCAAAGCTGACAGGTGGGAGGCAGCTCCCAGTCACTCAGATGTTAGGAATCACCCCTCCTCTGGCTGTGCAGAGCTGGAAGCCCTGCCGCTCCCCCTCCGCTGCTTTCTAGTCCTTCCTCCCAAGCCTCCTGTGTCCTCCCTGGCACTGTGTGTGCAGGGGCACCTGGACTGTGTGCACTGTCAGGACAGGAAGTGGGAGCCAGCCCCCAAAACTTCCCCAAAGCCTCCTTCAGTGGCGGCTTTGGCTCCTCCTCACTAGAGGGAAGTTTGGGGGCTGGCTCCCACTCACCGCCCTGACAGCGCATGCTGCCCGAGCGCACCAGCACACACAGCCCCAGGGAGGTCAGAGGGACCAGAGCGTGAGCGGGAACCAAGCAGCTGCCCTGCAGGGAGAGGGAGTGGCCGGGTTTTGAGGGTCATCCCTCCCCCAACCCTACTGAGCCAGGAGCTCTGGGTCCATTTTTGGGGTCAGATGGGGCAGGGAGAGGGGGAAAGGTTGCTTGCAGCAGCCAGGTGCATTACATTGTAGAACCAGACTCAAAATCAATTAACTTCTTAATTTTTGAAGCTGACTGTTGGTCGTGTTCATTAGCTGAGCTCAAGTTAAATCCTGAGATGTAAATTCGTTTGGATCCTGACCATAGTATTTTCCCCAGCTTTGTGGGGGAAAAAAACAAAATTTTAAAACAGGTAATTTTAAAGGATTGTATTTCAGGAAATCTGTGACCAGAATTAACTCAGTTTAGAACCACTGTCTCTACCCAGGGCCCTTTGCTGGCATACCAATTACAGCCATCTCATTTTGCATGTGGATTTTGCAGGACTTGGAAAAATATCCTTTACACTGAAAGCAGAGCTTCTGTGGCACCCCATTACATACTTCTTTTAGCATTTTCATTGGTTTTGTTATTTATCCACTTCTTATACTTGATTTCATAAATTTTATAGCCTCCTGCTAAACAATTAATGTAACACTGTACTAAAATATAATAACCTCAAATTTATTCAAGCACAAGAAAATTCATTTTTGCCTCATGGAACAAGAACATACATGGTTCCATGAAAGAGACAAGTGAGGTTACTTTGTATCAGTTATAAATTTGGCAGACTACCAAATGTTAATTTGCTTTTAGCTAGTTGAGATTAAATGTAATTCCTTCCCTGAGCAGCCTTAAAGTAAGCAAGCATGAAAGCATTTTCTGAGTAATCTGGGAGGAATTGACATTTAAAGGAGTTAGCATTACATCTGCACTTTAAGGCTATTAATTTCATAGATAAATTAACTACATTATTCTGTCTTTATCTTACATTTTGAAAGGATTCCATCAACCGGAGAAATGGCAGCCCAGGGTCAACTGAAACTGCTCTTATCCCAACCGTATTGTAATTGGAACTTGCTTTTGGAAACACTGCTACATCAGGATTGTCTCTTAGTGAAAATTTTATTGGAAAGTTCAAGTAAGTATCTGTGCTTTGTTTGTAAGAATGGCAGCAAGAAAACACACACAATTTTTTGAGTTTTGCTACATTTTTCACTGCTTGACTATTGATGGAAGGATGCCAGCCAGTTGTGGATATCAGTAGTTATCCAGTTATCAGTGAGACAAATATTGAACTGGGGGAGGTGTGGAGGTAGGAAGAATCCTTTATCACTTTTTACTGAGAGTTGCAGTCTATCTGAACATTCATATTTTGAAGGCAGATAGCATTTTGATAACATAGACCACTGTCACAACTTTGAAGCTTTTAAGAAGAAATGGATGAATTTGAACTTATCAGAGTTTTGATATCAAAACTGCTTTAAATAGCTTTTCCTTGAAAAAAGTAGTCTGAGTTAGGACTCTGAAGGATCACTTGCTTTCAACATTGGAAAGCTTCTCAGAGATTTTGCTTAATAAATTGTATATGTTTGTTACTGTAAACTGCAGTTGTATTCTTCCTCATATTTGAATAGTTAGAAATATGTAATTATGAGAGAAATAGGAAAGCGAGTGGAAGAATGGTTCTACACAGGCTTTCATTTTTTATTGTGCTATTACTGTGTTTGAAAACAATAAACATTATTATCACATCTAACACTTTAGTAGTTTTCAAATAAAGGAATCAAATTGATGAATAGTTTATGGTGTAGTTACTGATTTGGCATAATGTTTGCCGTAATGTTGAACTATATTCTGTTGTTAAAAATCAGTTTTTATCATTCTTTTGCAAAGGAATTTCTCATTACTTATCAAACAGAAAATATTAGGTCCACATACCATTAAACCTGACATAATTTACTTCTGTCATTTTAAAGTGGTCTTACATTTGTCAGAAGCACAACATTGCTTCAACTTCTGTCATGCTTCTTATTGAGTGCTAAACTGCATTCACTTACCTATTCAAATACCTGTCATCTTTTACAAAGACTGACAAATGTTTGATCAGGATAATATTCTTACCCTGGTGTTATCCGCTATTGAATTTTACTAGCTGCTTCAATTATCACAAGGATGAAGTGACAGAATTTATTAATCTATTGACTGACCAGCCCTTTGAGCTTCAGGGGAATATATGCTACTTAGAGTTAGAAATTATGTTGTTTGTATATGCTGTAGAGCTATATTAACTACAATAACATTGATAAACTGTTGTTTTACATAACATTGAAACTGGTAATAGTCTTTTTTCTTCTAGAGTAATTTCTGTTTGATTAAATATGTGCTGGTAAAACTGACCACATTCTTTACATTACAAATTTGATATTTTATAGGAAAGAAACATTAAGTGTTATAAAATAGTATACTGTATGGATCACCAAAACACATTTCTGAAATACCATTTCAAACAGTGCACTTTTTACACCTAAAACTCTCTGGGAAAACTGATACAGTCTTGATAACGTTACGTATTTGTGGAAGTGTGATTGATCTAGCTTTCTGTATAAAGTAATCTAAAATTATCAAGAGCTATTTTCTTGGTCATAGCAAAGTCAGTAGATTTTGTTTTTTCTTCATGCAGCCCAAAGTCTTACACTAATACATGAATACATATTTTATCAGAAGTAGTATTTATTAATGTCTGAATTCAGAGTGATATGTTTAAGCAGTTAAAAGACAAGCATAATGTAATTTTGAATTTTGGAGTAATTTACATAACTGACCACAAACTACCTAAAATTTAACTTCACAGCATGAGTCATGCAGAATTTCTAAGGAAAAAAAAAGTACAAAATTTCTCAACTTTTTCCTTCTCTTATCCTCAAAAAGCAAAAATATGTCAGCATAAATTACATTTAAATAAGTACTTATATGTTTCAGATGTATTTAGTGGGTGTCGATGATTGTTTATATCATCATAGTGCCATTGCACTCATTTTGTGAGGCATTGCACAAACACATAGGGCTAGGTTGTAGTCCCCACTCTCCTTATGTGGCTGTGTAGTTTTCATAGATTCATAGATCCCAGGCCAAAAGGAACTATTGAGATTATCTAGTCTGACCTGCTCTATAATACAGGCCATAGAAGTTCCCCAAAATAATCCCTAGTTATGAATGGAAGGACTAGGAAGCTTTTCCTGTCTTTGTGTGGCCTATGTAAGAACCATCCAAAATATCAGCAGTGCCCAAGAGCAATTCTCCAAAATGGGAGAAGGCGGGGAGTGGATGGAGCTGTGGCTGCACTGTTGCCAACTCTCATTATTTTATTATGAGTCTCTCTTAATATCTGATGATGGAATCATGTGAATACATAGAAATCTAAGTTTTCATTTTTAAAAAGTAAGTTTCTAACTCTCACGGATGTGGAAAAAAGCTTCAAAATATGAACCCTAAGGATTCAAAACCCAGAAAGCAAATAAACAGATGCAACATTTATTATTTTTTTAAATCTTGTGATTTTTCAGCCACTTTAGGTGACTGAGCAGTTAATATTCAAAGAAAAGTAATTGGAGCAAAGTGAGAGGGAACTGAATTTCAGAAATGTCTCATATTTCATAGGAGAATTCAGATAGTCTACACCGCAACTGGATTGAGGAGTAAGGCAGGATTTCCCAACTCCTCCTTTGAGACTTTACCTTCCTCCATTTTGTAGAAAAAATAATCCACATTCACTTACGTGAATCACAGTGATACAGATAAGATGTATATGGAGCTAAACTTGGCAAAATTCCTACTGGACAAGGAATCTGTGTGCTCCTTTTAGATCAATTGATAGAGTTGCTACTTGTAGACTATAAGGATACTAGTTTAAGGCCCAGCTACAGTGCTGTCCTTTTTGCACAGACAGATTAATATACTGACTATTCTGGAGAGTGAGGAGACAGTACGACATTCACTTGTGTGTGTCTGATCAAAATAAACCCCGAACTCTGAAACCAAGATTTTTACAAGTGGATAGAGATTTTTGGTGCCCAGCTTGAGTTAATGAAGAGATTCCCGTTTTCAGACAATGCTGAGCACTACGCCTATAAAACAAACAAACCCTTTTAAGGTGTCAGAATCACTAGTCACTTTTGAAAATATTGGCCTGGGTGTCTTACTAGGACTGAGACTTTGTTTTGAAGAATTATTATTTTTCATTATCACAAAAAATTAAAAAACAAAACAAAACTTTTTTGTGTTTGGGAGAGGTCTGCAACTGTCATGTCATTTGATTTGCATATTAACCAATTGATTTATATTATTTCATTTTATTAATAATGAAATTACCCAAGTGATGAGTAAAGTTTATTGATGGTAATCCTAACTATTACAGAAATAGCACTGTATTGATCACTGCTGTTTTAGTTTATGCATAGTGAATAATAAAATTCTAATTATGTTTTGAATGTATTTTGAATTAAAGTAGGCATATACTGTATTTTTTTTAAAGTACTTCTGATATTTTTTTAATGACTGGATATAACTTAAGCAGGCATAATGAATCAAATGTTATTATGTGAAAGATTTCAGTGGTATTGTGTTTTAAAATGTAGTTCAAATACAGTTTTCAGTTTGCTTTGACACTTTTTATTTCCATAACTAGAATTAATTGGAAATTCTACTAACCATTATTTTATTCATTTTCAAGAAATTGAAGTATCAAAATGTGATGAACAAAGTTCCTGCATAAAACAGATAAATAACAAAGAGCCTACTTTGACTGAAGCAATCTTTACAGTACTATCCTATTGCACTTTATCACCCAAATCACTTAGTAGTGCTCTTGAGAGCTACATGAAAAAAGAGCAACTATGGGATTTCTTTTACAATATATCAGGTATGAAAACAATTAGTGATACAAACATTTTAAAGCCCATGTTTAATCTTGTTCATTTTCAGATATATACTGATACTAGTTTTTGTTTTAATAAGTTGGTCCAAATTATGGAAGGTTACTTAAAATAATACTAGAATTGAAGTGTTTTGAAGAATCATATTATGAATGTTTGCAGTCTAATACCTCATCAAGGGATTATAGAAACAGTGGAAAACGGCATGGATACAGTATTCGTGGTTGTAGAAAAATGTGCTACAGTGGGAGCCCAATTTTCAAAAGTGTCTGCCTCTGACCGTGTGGGTGAGGGCTGTTCCAAATCTCAGAGGACCCAGGCAGCAAGCAGCAAACACCTCCTATAACTGCTGACTGCTTAGTTTCTCTGTTCCTGCCTATCTAACAAAGGCACCAGCACCACACCTTCACCCCTAACTTTTGAAGAGGGATAAAGGGGAGTAAAGAAATGGGGGGATTGCCACATGAGATGCAGTGGGGATGCTGCTTTGGGATGGATTAGAAGCCCTGCTACTTGATGATGCAAAGGGAGAGGGGCTCCCAGTTGTGAGTGGACAGGGAGAGATGCCCTATCTGGGACAGGAGTTGGAGGCTACTGCTGATTTTTAAAGTGTTAGGGTGTAGGACCCAAAGGGAAGAAAGGGATGAGAGTAGATAGCTCTCTGGTACCCAAAAAGGGGGAGTGGTGAGGCCCTGAGGAAAAGAAAGTTGGGGGGAGGGGGTCTGAGTGAAAGCAAGAGAGAGAACAAAGAGGGTAGTGACCATCAAGGGGATGGAGGTGCTCCCCAAGAGTGAGTGAACTGCAGGGGAGACCTGGTGGCCTGAGGCACAGAAAGAGGGGAGAAGAAGAAAGGCACAGAGGCTGTTGGGTTTCAAAGAGGGATGAGAGGTGGGGATCTATAGAAACTTACAGAAGAGTCCTGGGGAAGGGGATGAGACTGAGAGGGGGATGGAGGCAGACATGTGTCCCCCTGGACAGGTGAAATAAGTTTGGATAAAGGCCTCTAGCTGACCCCAGAACAGGTGAAGAGAGTTAGGTTGTGTGGAAATCTCCATTCCCCCAAAAAACAGTGGAAAAGGGAGTAAAATAGAAAAATGACAGAGGAGAGAGGTGATATAGCACAAAAGAAAAGAAGAAAAGGGAGGAGGGAAATAAGAGGAGAGGATAGATAACAGAGAAGGAAGATCTCCAGGCTGTCAGTCACACCATCCTTTATCAATCAGACAGAATATGCTGCCTTAAGAAGAGCCTATTCAAATTTCCCTGACCTAAGATATGACAACTAAATGACCAAAGGAACCAACGTTCAGCTCCCATATGTTTTAATAGACAACTCTATAGCTCCTACACTTCATAAAATTACTGCTCCAGCATCCCCACCTTGCATTCCCTCCCACTTGTCTCACCACGGCGTCTGCAGCAACTGCTTCCAAGAATGTTGAGCTACATTTCCAATCACTGTGGCTCAGTTTTCCTGCTACAGCACCCCCAGTTCTCTCCCCGGCCTGAAACTACAATGGCGACATCTTCCCTACTGCTTTCTCTCTCCTTTCTCCATTCAGGTTTAACTGAAAATTCTCAAATTTTCTGAGGGACAATTCTGCTGAGTTACTTTTTGGGGTCTACTGTTAGCTGTCCTGCAGCCCAGTTCATTTGTCGATTGGAGTGTGGTCCTTCAATCTGCCTCATTCTCACCTTTCTTTTCCTCATTCTACTTTCTTCATCACCCATCCACAAATCACTTTTCATTTTAGTTTGGCATAGTAGTAAAGTAGTGGTGGCCTCTACTCAGCCAAAGCTGGAGCCAATTCGCGTGAACCGGTTGTTAAATTTTGAAGCTGGTTTAGAACCGGTTGTTAAAGGGGTGGGGAAGCTCAGGCGGGACGGACAGGATGTGCCCCGCGGGACCATCCTGTCCATCCCGCCTGAGCTCTTGGCTGGGGAGGATCCCATGTGAATTTTTACTGACCCGGTGGCACTCCGAGCCTTCGGTGGCACTTCGGTGGGTCTTCAGTGGCATTTCGGCGGTGGGTCCTTCAGTGCCACCGAAGACCCAGAGGGACTGAAGGACGTGCCGCTGAAGTGCCACCAAAGACCCGGAGCAAGTGAAGGAACTGGTTCTTGAGCTTCTGGCAGCTCATCACTGGTCAAACCCCCATATTTTGAGGTTTTGTGGCAATCTGCTTCCACACATACCCTTCAAAATTGCCACTCCAGCATCTGGTAGAACTTCCTGGAGGAACTACATGCTACATGACTTGGGGGCTGCAGCGCCCCTTTTCTGGAGAGAATGGTAAATTCTCTAAGATATTAAGAATAAGGGAAAGAATGCTCCTATATCATCTTAATACCTGCTACTCACAATATAAACTGTATTGTAGATAACCAACTTGTGGAATGTTACCTATAGTAATATGATGGCACTCTGTGCTAGATGATAGGGTTTTTTTTAATTCCATCATTTTGTCACTGGAATGTCTCTTCATTTTTCCTTCTGCTTGCTTTCTAATTAAGCAGTACCAAACAGTCTGGTTAACTATCAAATACTATTCTCAGTTCTGTGCTAATGTAATTGACGATCCAGCTAAGGAGGTAAAGAAGTAAACAAAAGTGGTCATATCAGCTGGCTCCATTAAAACAAACAAACTAAAAACATATGCAGCATGGAAAAGGACAGTATCAATTGGAAACATGTAATTTTTAGCTTCAAATTAAAGGGAAAAACAAAAGAAAAAAGAAATTAAACTATAAAATACATGGTCCTATAATATTAAACCATACAAGCCATATTATTTTAATTTTGTAATATTTCTTTAATTTGTTAGAGGACTGTAACTATGAAGTTGTTCTGAATCATAATTTTGTTGCTCTTCTTTTCACAAGGGTTTTATAATACCTCATTTTGAAATTCTAATAGTAAACAAATGTGCACAAATGGCTGTTTGCATATTGACTGTTTAATGCTTTTTTTTTGTCTGAAGTTTCTAGTTGTGGTGACTCAGAGCCAGAGGTTATCAGATGTTTGAAGCTGACTTTGATTAATTCAGTCAAGGGTATAGTGAAGCAAATAATTTCTTTGATGCATTCATGGGAGGCAACAGAGAACTATGGAACCTATCAACACAAGCAAATAGTTCCTGAAAGTTTGCTGAAGACAGTTCCAAAGGAATGGAATTATACACCTAGAGAAATGAAGAGAAAAGATGCTGGAAAATGTAGGTGACACTTAAAGTGTTCTTATATAAACCTGTCATAAGAGCTTGTTCCCATTTAATGAGAACATATCAAAGTTGAAGAATTAGAATTGATATGTGATATGATTTGACAACAAACATTATTGTAATTTGCAAGCAAATTTCCTGATTTTTTTCAAAAAAGTACTAGTGAAATTGTTATGTCAGTACGTTTCTTCTTCATTAAGTTAGAACTGCAATAACTTGGGATTTACATCCTTGCACACATCTGTGGTGTTTTTAAAGTCTATATAGTTATTTTAAGTCTTTTCACAAATCTCAAGCACTAGAGAATAGTAGAATAGGCTTCAAGATATCCTAGGATGATCTATGGTGATCAAAACCAGGAAATCATTTTAGTTCATTTTGTTTCCCAACCAGTGTAAACTACTGTGAACCTTTTAGATTTTGTTGGTTGTAAATATCTGATAGTCATCACAGTTTTAATTAAGATATGTTATTGGGGTTGAAACATTACAACCTCATTTATCGGTGATTTATAACACAACGATTTATATTTCTATAGCATTGAAATTAGTATACAATGTGCAACTGCAGATATTATTTCTCTAAACCATTATTAAAATAAGTAAAGTAATATGGTAAACATAGATAATAGAAAACATTTTAAAAATGGATCGGGAGTAAAGATTATTTCAAGTATTTTTGTTGATCACCCGTGGCTAAACAACCATAATTTTAATTTTTGCAAGGATAAAAAAAATAAATAAATAATTGGCACCAAAATCATGACCTGATTCTCAGTTACACTGACATCCCTTCACAATATTCTGGCAATGAAAAGAGGCCATAAGGTGGGAGTAAGTTATTTTTAAGTCTACTTTGTAAGACCCCTTTACACTGCTAGAGCATCTACCCCATTCTTCTTCATATCCTTTTTCCTTCCCACTTTTTATTTCTTTCATGCTGTATACTTGGTCCCCTTTTTCTTTTTAATTGTGCCCTTCTCTTCCTTTTTTCAACCTGTGTCTCTTCGGTAGTTACTTTCCAATTTCCAGAACGATTCAATAGTAGGTGCTGTACCAGCATACATCCTGCGTATATTGCAGAAGCCAATAATCATGACTGATGTGAGGACATTTATGGGCCTAAAAAGGGAAAGGGAGAAAAAGAAAGTAAACATTACAAATACACTTCAAGACTCTGAGAGATTTAGCACATTACTCTACACTGCACATTAATCATAAAAAACAACAACATAAAGCAATTTTAAAGTCAAGCTATTGTCCCATCTTATTCCAAATCACTCAGAATAATGAGTGATCTTTATCTCTATTAAATGTGCTGTAATAGCTGGGCAAAACAGGACTAGATACATATGGAATAGCAATCTTAATTCTAAATTATCTTGGTTTTCTATTTTCAGGTCATTACAGGATCTCATTTCAATAGATTTTTGGAGATTAATATACAGTAAAGCACAGTCGAGGTCTAGCTATACTTTTGAGCACTTAATCTTTTCAGCCATTTTCACTACAAAAATTAGACATCATCATACAACACTCATAACTGTACTGTGATCGAACCAGAATATTAATGTTAATCATACCTTCTTTTCTTTCTTTTTTTCTTTTTTTTAAGGCTTCACAAGGCTTGCAGCTCAGGCTGTATCTATTGTAATCAGCAAGTTACCTACAGTGATTGCATGTTTGCCTCCCCCAATTAAATACTTCTTTTTCCTGTCTGAGAGGAAAATGTCAAAAAACTTTGTTGAATCAAAGAAAGCTGGTCTGCTTGTCTGGAACTTGATTGTAATTATATGTCGGATTTTTGAGGATGGAAACACCGCAGAACTTTTAACAGGTGCAACGCTTGACAGATGGAGCAAAGAGAAACTCAGTTTAGTTCGTGTGTGTTTGGAAAGTATTGTGGGAAAACAGAAAAGTAGTCCTAAACAAGTAGCACAGAAGGTTATACAGAGTATAGAACAACAAAGACCAAACTGGATTGAAAGCCAGTTGCTGAAAGCAAGAAAATTGAGCACTGACTGGTAAGAAGAATTTAATATTTTCAGATGATATTTTTCTTTCACTGGGCTATTTGCAAAAGTTCATAATAGCATCAAATAAATATGTACAGGTGAACAAAATGCAGGTGAACACTGATTTTATATTCTCTAATTTAGAGTAGTTCTTAATAGGGTGAAAATTTGATAGTAAAGGATTTGTGAAAATCAATTGCATAGTAAAAATGTAAACCACAGTTGTTTCATTGGAACAGTCTACTCACAAAGAGATTTCTGATTATCACAGTGATCATAAAACAAGGACAATTTAGTTTCTAATCTTTCTTTATGTGAACAGGTACACTAACTGCAGGGCAGTATAGTATGTTTGTAAATGGATTTTGCTATGATGATTAAATTAAAGAGGACTTAATGTCTTTAAACAGCTTTCTATATTTTTTCTGTGATTAAAAAAATAAGCATATTTCACTTTGTAGCAACAAACCTTTAGGGCAAGTCGGGCATATCAAAACAGGACAGGGAAGCCACCCAACTGTTTCTTTATGAGGCAAATACCAACCTTCTTGCAGATTTGACATCAAGGTCCAAATGTTTTGAAACCTTGCTAAAGTTTCTGGAGGGGTTGAATGGATCTAAATATGTTTATGGCTTTCTCTTATCAAAAATTAGTTTTATGGAAGAAAATTATCTAATTTTCATGACATGTATTACTATTTAAAAATATTACCTATCAGCTTTCTGATATTAATTTATAGGAGTTACACAAAATAAATTTGTTGACTACTGAAAGTAAAATGGTTTGTCATTTCATACATATTCTACAAGGTCAGTGTCATTAATTTCCTGCCAGTAATAATCCATATAAACAATATAGAAATTCACATTTGTGTCAGCAATCTAAATGAAAAGCTTTTGTGCAGCACACTGAGGCATTTTTCTTCTGGGGCAATCAGTTGGCAAGAATAGCAATAAGCAGTAATAGTATCACACAAATGCTCATTGACATTGACCTTCATAATCTTTATATTTGCATTTAATACTAATTTACAGGCTTTAATCCAATGATTAAAAGATTAAAGGCAGATGCCATCCATGTGAGTAGTCATAAGGTAAAATATGTTTTAAAATTTGTAGACTGATATCGACCAGAATAGTGTCATAATTCAATTTATAATTTACTCAGATTATAGACTCCTTATTAAACCAAAGGAAATCCAATTTAAGAGTAGTGTCTAAGTGATAGCTCCTAATAACTCTCAGAAGTGCCGTTTAACTTTTTGTTTATGTCTGCTTAATTTGAAAAATTAATAATAAAGTCAAATAGGTAGAGTATTGTACTAATTTTCCTAATATTTTAAAAAATATTTAATAGCTGTCACACCAGGTATCTGACTTTGGGCAATGACTCTCTCTTTCATTAAGATGCTGAACAACTAGTCAAAAGAATATTTTTACTCATTTTGAGTGTAAGGAATTGAATAATGCCATTATTTACTCTCTAAGTCTCCAGTCATGTGGTGAGCTCTGCATGGGAGGGTCTCTGTACAGAGTGGAACTCCCCACTGAAGCATGGAATCTGCCAACATGA